ACTGGTTCCAAACACCGCCGGATTCTCCACGCTAGATCCCTATCTGGCTTGTAGCGGAACCAGAAGCTTTTTTTCCTTTTTTCAACGGCAAAATTTTATTCCATGAGGGAAGGATGGAAGGGGGTAGGGCTGAATAGTGTTGCCTCTGTGGGGCCTTATCTTTTCCACAGTATCAATTACAAAAATTTACAGTTGCAACAAGATTCGTTGTCTTTACTGCTTGCTGCTGCTGTTGTTGTTGTTGCTAATACTGCTGCTACTGCTGCTGTTACCGTCTGCAAAGCCTTTACTGTTAATCTAGCACAGAGCGGCATTTATCCCCGCGCAGCCAAACGAGCGTTATTGTATACGTAGATCACTTTCAAAAACTTTTCGGGCCGTGCAGAGTGATTTGGTCATTTGAGAAGTATGTCCGTTTTAAGAATATTTGTGACTTGAGACTTTTACCGGTTAAACATAGGTATGTGTATTGTAGTCAATTTTGTGGTGGACAACAAGGCCATTTTCATTCTTCTTCATTTCTTGATTGTCTTGCGACTCCCACATTGCCTAGCAGTCAGTCTTCTGGCAATCTTGACTTTTCCGGAAATGTCAGCCTATTTTAAACTTTTTTAAGAAGCAGTATGTCTATCTTCCCATATAATTGCGAGAAGTCTGAAAACGGTCGAACACGGCTATATCTTTTGGTGCCGGAAGGTTCAAGTTTCATTGGTGGACGATTTTTCATTGTCGATAAGAAAGGGAGTGTTCATCAGGAAACAGTTATTGAGTCCGGTAATTTTGCTTCCGAGCGATATAATCTGTTTTTGTTGCAATGCGATTCAAGTGAGAATGCTTACAGTATTGGGAAGGAAGGGATCCGAAATCGGCAGCTGAAAAATACCTAATTTTAGTTGCAAAAACTTTCCCTTATGTTATTTTGTAAAATTAAATGTACAAAGAACAAGTGATATTCAGTTAAAAGTCGGTAACTCGCATTGTTTCAAAATCACATTAAGCTTGAATTGTACCATGATCTTTAAATGGCACATACCCACGAAACTGCTGATTACATTCCAGTTTTCTGTGCTCCATCTGAAACAGCCATAACAGCGAGGGCTTCTTGTGAGCAACATGTTGACCAAAAAAAAGGCTTTCAACGATCGGAACAGGAAAAGAAGGGCAATAGTGTAGTTTATGCAGAGCAAAAATCCTGAACGTCTGGAGATGTAGACTCCACTCTGTTTCTGCCTCATATTATTTGCAAAACGGAGTTCCGCTTGCGAAAATCCCCTCCTCCCTCCATCCTCTTCCCCTTTTTTCGGAATTTTAGGTAACCGTCTAACAAATTTTTGATGTTTTTCATGGAGATTGTCTGCCTTTCTACTACAGTTGTTTATAAATCGGGTTCGTTTAGGCTGGATAGCTTTGCAGTTTCATCATGGGCTGACAATAAAACCGGATTAAGAGTAATAATTTTAATTGAAGCTCTCGTAATTGTTAACGCTTCATGCAAGTAATCTGCGATTACTACTACAGCCTATTTGTAGGAAGGCATTTGGATATTCAGCCGGCGCTAATTAGTTCACCGGAATATTTGTTAAAATTTGGTCCCGGTGA